ATTACAAAATCTATTATTTAAAATCATAATCAGGAAGCTTCCACCTAACCATTAATTGGAAGTTATTAATCTGAAATACAAGGACAGGCTAAAAGGCAAATATCAGAAGTATCTAACCGAATTCTATAAATACCTTCCAAAACAATGAAAAAACTCAATGAAAGTCCTAGGTTGTGTATTTGGCATACTTGTGTTAAAAAGGCAATTCCAAACAAAAAATGTGAGATCTTATTACACATCACATTAAATATTTATAATCAATTTTGATGGAAACTCAATTTCAATAAAGCAAAATGTTGTTCCTTCTTCTGAAAGTGAACTAGTCTTCTCATTAAAAAACCAAACTCACTGCCGTTGAGTTGATTACAACTCATAGAAACCCTTTTGGACAGGGTAGAACTGCTCCTTTAGGTTTCTGAGACTTTAAATCTTTATGGGAGTACAGACTCATTGATGTCTGGCAGAGTGGCTGGTGAATTTGAACTGCAAACTTTGTGGTTAGCAGTTCAGTGCGTAGTCACACCAGGGCGTTCTCTCCCCACACCCAAAAACAAAACAAACAAACAAAAAAAACACAATTATCTACAATAGTTTTTAATATAGGAATACTGCTTTATTCTGTTATTCCAGAAGCTTGGAGTATGGCTGTTAGAATAAATAGTTACTAAATGAATTAAATACAAAAAGTGAAAGAGAAGAACTCATTGGTACACCTATATTCAAAAAAAAATTATACACATTTTCAAGATATTTATGATCTCAATAAAAGTATTGAAGTTTTTTTCCTCATTATATAAATACCTACTAAGCAACTACCTACACATCACAATTGTCTCTCTTGAGCCACAAATGCTAAACTATTATCTGGCCCCTTATAAATTTTGCTAACTCCTGATATATACCAACTATATTTTTTAAAGATATATTGATTCCCTGATTCCAATATCAAAACACTTCTAATATAACAATTTTGTGTGTATTCATGTATAATATGCAACAGAAAATATAATCATATGGCGCTGGAGAAGAATACTCAAAGTCCCAAGGACTACAACAAGAGAATCTGTCTTCTCAGAATTACACCCCGCGTGCCCCGTTGTGGCAAAGATGGTAAAGTTTCATCTTACAAACTTTTAACATGTTTTCAGGAGAGACAGACCCTGGAGAAGGAAATCATGCTTGATAAAGTGGAGGGGCAGCAAAAAAAAGAGGAGGGCTCTCAATGAGATGGATTGACAGTGGCTGCAAAAATGGGTTCAGGCCTGGGAATATTGTGAGGATGGCACCAGGCCGGGAAATGTTTCTTTCTGTTGTACATAGGGTCGCTATGGGTTGGAACTGACTCAATGGCAATTAACAACAAATACCCCCCAAAAAACCTGATTGCTCTCAAGTTGACTCCTACTCATAACAATCCTAGAGGATGAAGTGGAACCTTCTACAGGGTCTCCAAGGGCCTCTTTACCAGAGCAGACTGCCAAGTCTCTCTCCTGCAGAATATACTCCCACAACTGCAAACAAAAAACAAAAAACCACCCCCAAACCCGCAAAACACTTATCAGTATGTCAGTACCCACACACATCCCCCCAAAATCTAAAAATTAACATTAAGTTATTCATGATTGCTTCTAGCAATCACTCTTGCCTATAGTTCACTCTCCATAAAGTATCCAGAATTATATTTAAACTTAAATCAGATCTTCCCCTCACCTGCCCCCCCATGTTTAAACCCTTCTGTTGACTTACTACATTTAAAAACCAAAACAAAACAGCTCAAAGTTCTTTTCAAAAACTGAGAAGGGCTTACTGACCTGGTTCCAATCTTTCTGTAGCTTTTATTGTTTAGCCTGTTATCGTTCCAGAAGCTTTAGCAAGTCTTCCAGAATAAGTAGTTAATAAATGAATTAGAAGCAAAAGGTAAAAGATGTGGGAACGGATAATTTTGCTTTTTTAAATCAGTTTTATTATAATGAGAATGCTACTTGTGTACTGTCTATAAAATCAGAGAATAATTTTTAAAGTAAAGTTTACTGGATAACATGATTTCGAAGATTACTACTTCAAAAACCAAAACCAAAAAGTCAATTCAAGAGTGTACTGGTGCAGTGATTGACACTCAGCTGCTAGCCTAAATATCTGTGGGCCATGCGCACCAGCTGCTGTGTAGGAATCTGCTTCCATCACGATGCATTTAGAAACCTCACGGGCACTCCTACTTGTCCTTTAGTTCCACTCTCAGGCCGAAATAACTCAGAGGGCACTGAGTTTGAGTTTCCTTCAGTTCATGTACAATCAATCTTTGGAATGGGATCTATTTTATAATTTGTTCTTAAAAATTTGATAGCATCGGATTGGTTTTACATTTCAATAATAGTAACAGATTTAAACTGAAAACAGAAATTAATACCATTTTATTTCAACAAAAAAGATTGAGAAAGGTATAACTTGAACTGTAGTTTTCACCGCTCCACAATTTCAGCAAGTGAGTATTTCCAAATTAACCTGAATGCTATATGGTTTCATTTGAGGCATATTAACAAATTGTGCTGGGATATCTGAGTTCCAGTTGAATTAAGAACAATTTAAAACGCCAGTGAACCTTAGTTTTATCTTTAAATACAAAGGGTTAGATTTAGGACAGGCATTATCTAAAGTGTTTTCTTATTCTAGAAATCCTTAATTTGCTCTCTTCAGAATTACATTAAAATAGGACAGGCGATGTGTGTATGGATTGTGATGACAGTTGTATGAGCCCCTAATAAAATGTTTAAAAAAATTTTTTTTAATTAAAAAAATAAAATAAAACTAAAAAAAAAAGAATAAAAAAAACAAAACTATAATCAATGAGAAAAAAAAATAGGACAGGCGTGCAATGAATGTACAAATGAGCTTTACACAATTGATGTATGTATGGATTGTGATAAGAGTTGTATGAGCCCCTAATAAAATGATTAGAAAAAATAAAATAAAATAGGACAGGCAACCCTATTTATAGAACAAATTATAAAACAGGTTGTCATTATATTTGGGCAAATAAAATGTTTCTTTTCTTTTGTGAATCAAATATAGTTACACCAAGATCCTGCCTGTATACCACCCACTGTCTGTGAACACAGTATGATCAACGAGATCTTAAAATCTCCTCTAGTTTCAGAAACTTTAAAATCAACTTGTGCGCCTGCCTTCTTCCTCTTCTAACTTACCCTGTAGACACAGGGAAATTGTCTTAGCAAGGATAATACAAATAATATTTAGTTCAATGAGAATTACACCTTTTCTTTATAACACTGGAATTAAAGTGGACACCCTACTATTTGAAGACTTATCTTTTCCTTTATTTATATTTGTATGTCCTTACTTTGTTTTGAAATAAAGTCAATTATTGTTCTGTATCAACTTTACAACTGACATACGTAATTTTAAAACAAATATACTGAAAACACACTAAGCCAAAGGGAAACCTGTTTATCGATTTTATTAGGTTTGGAACGATAAACAAGAAATACCCACACCACACTCAGTGCCACTCCACCGACTCCTACTCACAGCAACCCTACACGGCAGAGAACCGCCCCTCGGGGTTTCCCAGGCTGTCAATCTGTATGGGAGCAGACACCCTGCATCTTTCTCCCGGATATAAATAGTGAGTTTGAACTCCCAATTTTTGTGATACTGTTTTGGGGGATTGAAATTCTGAAAAATATATACATGTGATTTTACCAACTCTCATAACTTCTTAAACAAGGTAGTTAAAAAATTTATGAAAGACCCAAGTTGGTCTTATTCAAGTCGCAGCTCTCTGATGGTTATGTAGTAGTTGCTGGGTGCTATCTGAATGACCACATGTGCAACAAAATGAAACACCGCCCAATAGAGAGGACTAGTATTTAAAATTTAAGTCTCCCCTGTTGATTGTTAAAACCTACTTAGGCTTCTTATGACAAACTGTAAAATTGTTTATTGTTGTTACTTGCTTACACGATAATTACATCGCTCATCATTATGTATGTTGCTTTTCCCAGTTTATTACTATGATTGCAATAAGAATAAACACACTTTAAAAGATATGTTTACAGCAAAATAAGCTGACATTAAACAAGGTTTTACAATGAACTTCTTAGCAAAGATATTAATTGCACTTTTTCTTTATAGCTAATGTTACCCAAAGTTTCCTCAAAATCAAGTATTGATAGCACAGTCTCAAATTTACTTTTTCATGTCATCTTTTCTTGACAGAATCAATGGTTTACTGTACTTTAATTTCTTTTCAAAAACAAACAGGCTCACTGCTATGAACCAAAACAAATTTTTTTTCCCCACACACAGAATCCAGGACAGACAAACCCTTCAGGAACAATAATGAGAGTAGCGATACCAATAGGGTAGGGGGAAGGTGAGGGTATAAGGGGGAGAAATGGGGAATCAATAGCAATGATTAATGAATAGCCCCTCCCCCAACCCCTGCCTCAGGGGAGGAACAACAGAAACATGGGTGAAGGGAGACAGCAAGTGGTGTTGGCTATGAAAAGAATAAATAAATTATCAAGGGTTCATGAGAGTGGGAGAATGAGGGAGGAAGGGAAAAAAGAGGAACTGCTACCAAGGGCTCAAGTGGAAAGAAAATGTTTTAGAAATTATGATGGCAACATATGTCCAAATGTGCTTGATACAATTAACATATGGATTGTTATAAGAACTGTAATAGCACCCAGTAAAATGATTTATATATATACATAAAATTTAAGCCCATGACATGATAATCATTTTATAGTGGAAAAGCTATAAAGGAACAAAACCAACGCATTTAACCAATTAGCCCAGAAATTCAATAGTGGAGTAAGTCATCTAACCCTAAAATCTTTAAAGGCTTTTACCACTGGACATATATTTCAAAAAATATGACAAAGAAAAAGCTTTAAAAAATAATTTGAATTATGGAAAAATTGTGAGAAATATATACTATTATAATGAAGGTACTTGAAAAAAGGAGATTCACATACTTTCCTTATATCCTCTGGATAAACTTTCCATTTCTTCTGTTGACTTTTCCACATTATAATCATCTACAAATTTTAGCTTATAATCATGTGTGTCACTCTCGGGCAAGTTCAACATTTTAGAAGTACTACTTTCTTTCTGCATGCTTTTACTGTTAATCAATTCTTTTATTTTATCCGTGTTTCTTTTCAAAGGAGTTAAATTACCGGGAGGTCCATTCTCTGGACATTCTTTTTGATTAACAATTTCACTAATAATATCATGAAAGTTATGTCCTTCTGAGGATGGGTCGTCTCTTTTCTGAGGATCAGTTTGACCAGAAGACTCCACAGTTTCTTCTACAGCATCTGTTTCCTTAGTAGTCAGGGAGCTCAAACTTGACCTTCCTTCATCACTTGCAGGTTTCTGAAGACTGGAGCTAGTTTTTGCTGTTAGATTGGCGATGTCGACTGTTCTCGATTTCTTACCCATACAGGAAAAATCAGACATTTCTAATACATATGCTCTCTCGTTCTTTGAAAGGCTACTTCTGCATTTGAACTGAACAGGGCTTAATGATGACTGAAATTCAGAGAGAAGATGCTTTGAATTCCTTTCCTTAAGATTCACAGGTGAGAAGTAATCATCATACGAGGGGTCCTCACAATCAGAAGTCTCTCTGACAGATGTGTTTGCAGAATGTGGTCTGTTTTCCAACTTGAACAGTTGCGCTTTTGGTTTAGTAGATTTTGTGCTATTCCATTTTTTCTTTAATTTTTTGGGGGGATGTGACTGTAAGTGTGGTGATGTTCTCTTTCGTTTTGCTGAGGGACTTCTGGGTCCTGAATGAACCAAACAGCAGCTTGTTGCTGAAGATAAAATAGGAGACATGGGATATTTCTTATCAAGTATCTCTGATACTCTTTCAGATTGTCTTTTTTCAGGAGTGCCTATTTCACCAACAAGATTCTCTTTCCAATCTGATTTGTCCTTTGGAAGATTATCCATGGGTCTTTGAGGTGTGACTGTGTTGAAGTAGCTGCAAGATGGTGATGAATGTGTACTGCTTGTTTTCAATACAGGTAGAGACACACAAAAGTCACTTCTAATTTCATTACTGAGACTTCCCAATTTTATTTCCTGATTGCTACTTCCTGCGTTTTCACAAATATCATCAAATGATGGGTGTAAAACACCAGCAAAGCAATCATCTGGAAATAAATTAATAAAGATTTAATTTTTTAAAAGATCAAAAAATTAACGAAATCTCTAGCACAACGTTCCCTCCAGGTTCAATGTTTGCTGAATTAATGCCTGGCCTCCACTTTATAAAAACTTCACAAATGCTACTGGCAACATCCAGTATTCACTTAGCACTTTCTGGCTGAAATTACTCAGGTTCTACTTAAAAAAAGAAACCCAGGCCAGCGTTAAAACTCTTCCCTGATCGTAAGCCCAAAGGAAAGAGCAATGTCATTGCGCAAGAGTGGCTCCATGGCTATTTCAAACCAGAGAATCTGTGTCTAAATCAGCAACTGTTATTATATTAACAATTTCAATATGCGTGAAATTGAGTAAGTTTGTCACAGTTTCTGAGACCTGGCAAGCAGTGTGACATGTTAAGAGTGTAACTGTGAAGCCAGACAGCCTAGGTTGAATCTTAGGTTTCCCACCACTCACGCACTGTGTGCAAATAATCATGCTGTCTAACATAATTTTTTCTTGGTTTTCTCATCGGCAAAATGAGGATTATAATGACACCTACTTCACAGTAGGTGTCATTATATGAGAATGTGGTAAGCACAACAGTGCCCAGATAATAGTAAAAATGCATAATTCATCAGTTCTACTTTAGAGCTAACAGCAATAGTCTCTATTACATCATTAAAAAGAAAATCATTTTACCTGAACATGAAGAGTCCTGTGAAATGTTCAGAGATGCTAGACACAGAGAATTAACTGGACTGTCATGAGATTTTTCAATCATTTGGGAAGCTAGAATATAATTTTAAAATGTCATTATACAACTTCAGTGTTTTATTTTTTGGTTTTTTAGTACATGAAGTTGATAGGAAATAATTCATTCTACCATATAGTATATGCATATCAACTCATTTATTACACTTCGTATCTCCAACTTAATACACAATACACACAAATCTTACCTAAATCTAATATAGATTACATTCATAAAGCATAATCTATATAAGATATATGTATATATGCATTAAGCATTTATATATAAGCATACACACACTTAAGCATTAAATTTAAACATAGGTATTTTAAAAGTAAAACGAATATTTTCACTTAGTCATACTATTTGATTGACTTATTTTTTCATGGATAGTCACAGTAGTTACCTCTGAAACTAGAGCGGTGGTTCTCAATCGATCAATTTTGGGCCCTCAAGGGACCCCTGTTTGGCAATGTCTAAAGACATTTTTAATTTTCACAACTGTGATGGTCTAGTGTAGGGCGAGGAGTCTGCATTCACTGACACACCATGGGCAGAGGCCAGGCATTCTGCTAAGCAGTCGACAGTGCACAAAACAGTCCTCCACAACAGAGAAATCCCAGCTGTGTCACAGACAACATCCACACTATTATTGATTTTAAGAATATGATCATAAATGTTATCTTTAAAGGCTGAGTGTACAATAGAGTAGAAACAAACAAAATAATGCTTTGTTCTCACATCTGAAAACATTTAAATGATTTAAAAGGAAACTTTTCTATGAAAACATAAGCAAACACTTGTAAAAGGGAATAAATCAAGAAAAAGAAGGTAAGTCAAGATGATGAAGGTAAGCACAGACAGGAAGCTCTCCATTACTGTATTTTCAACTGTTTTGCATGCAAGATAGTGGCAGATTTGACAATGCCAATGAAGAAAAATCATTCATACACATACACAGGTATGAACACAAATTTACGTTGAAACAACTGAGAGATCTACTTGGAACACTGCTAGTTATCTTTTACACCTATGTGTCCTTATGGTACTGTCCAGTAACCACAGGGTTGCTACCTACAACGTTAGTGGTTCAAACCCCCAGTGGAGAAGATGAAGCTATATACTCCTGTGAAAAGTTACAGCCTCAGAAACCTTACGTAAGATCAATTATGAATTGGAATCGGCTCTATGGCAATGAGTTGGGAGTTTTTTATGTATTGTCACTTTCCTCTTAAAGACAACCTCATTATACAGTGAATTATGAGTTGAGCTGCTAACCACATAGTCAGCAGTTCGAATCCACCATCCATTTCAAAAGTGAAAGATGATGCTTTCTGCTTCAGTAAAGACTTAGAGCATCGGACACCCACAGGAGCAGTTCTACTGCTGTAAATTGTAACTGATCCTGTAGCCATTAAGTTTGTTTTTTTGTTTGGACTTTATTTAATGCAGCAATACATCCTTTTTAAAAAACAGTAGTCCGTCTTACCTATAACCAAAAGGGCTCATGTGGCTAAATCCTAGCCAATAAAATTAAGCAGAAATTGGGTTTTCTGGGGAAGCTGCTTAAAGGGAGCTAAGAGAGCTGGGAAACATTTAAAATCCCGAATGGCAGTCAAACACTAAGAGAAGCAAAGCAAAAAACAAGCCTAGATTCTTAAACACATTATTGAACAGCAATACTTTTAAGTGCCTGCACTTCTGGATTTCTTATACACAAGACAACACAAAAGAAACACTTCTATCTCATTTAAGCTGGTGGGGGAGGAGAGGTTGACTAATTTTCTCTGTGAAGCCAAAATTAATCTAATGACATAAATGCACTTTACCTATCCGATGTTGCTATTAAGCATCAGAAATATAAATTCAATATATATTGAACAACACAACTTAAAACATAAATCACAAAGCTAATAGATGAAAACATAAAAGTTTCCAATCCTTCTGGTAGAGAAATCAAGACCAAAAAATGCAGTTGCTCTGAGTCAGAATTGACTCAGTAACAGTGGACTTGGGGGTTTTGTTTGTTTGTTGTGTTTTTTGGGTGGTGAAAGAGAAGTTCTTTTGAAGCATCACATGAACTTTAAGATGCATTGAAAAAAAGATGGATAGATTTGTCTACATTAAAGACAATTTGTGTGTTTGGCAAAAGTCACTGCAAGTTAAATGATAAACAACAACAGTTCATGTTATTGTATTTAACAACTTATTCATGAGTGTTTACTACCTAACAGACATTGTGCTCCACACTGGAACTCTCCGAGAAAATTTTGGAACATGTAATTCCTTCTTAGTACGTACAATATATAAAATGTTCTCACAGGGAAAAACAAGATAAAAAAGAACAGGCAGATGAACAAAGGTTACAGCAAGTAAATCAATGTTACTTTTAGCCAAAAACATAGAATGACGTTTGACCTCACTAGTAACCAAAAACAAAAATTCATTTTTTTTCAATCTAAAATTTAATTTTCCAAGTGGTGGAAACTGACATCCGTATAAATTACCGATGAAGTAAATTGGTCTTAAAGTTTTAAAAGGCAAATTTCACAGTAGCAATCAATACTTTAAAAATCTGTTTTGATGAATTAATATCATTGATATACACAGGAACATACAGATTTCTGTGGTCTTAAAAAATTTTTTTTATCGTTTTATTAGGGGCTCATACAACTGTTATCACAATCCATATATACGTTAATTGTGTAAAACATTTGTACATTCATTGCCCTCATCGTTCTCAAAACATTTGCTCTCCACCTAAGAAGATTTATGTTTAAGCATGTCCACTGCACACTATAATAGTAAAAAATGGAGAAGCATTATCTCTACAGACAGAAAAATGAATAAATAAAAATAAGAATTCACTCAATGGTAGTGGGCTTGTTTTTTTTTTGTTTTGTTAAAAGAAAAGAACTAGAAGCATTATTTTCTATTAATGAAAAACAGGGAAAAATCTATCAATCAACAATGCAATATGTTATACTAATAAAAAGGGTAGGTCGATATCTACTAATCTGAACAAAACCTTCGCAATTCTTACATACAAGAAAATTAAGTGAGGGAGAAGAAGAAAAAAAAATCCCCAAGCTTTAAGATAGAAAATCCACCAGCCTAAGATACGTTACTATGGGCAGAAGAGGAGAAATATAGTTTTATGAAAATATACTCAAATTGAATAATTAATAAATTTTAGGTTAAAAATTATTAAATCTACCATCAAATAGGTCATTATTTATTAGACCTAGAAATTAACATATTTAGAAAAAATACTTTATAACTTCTACTGACTACTTGTTTCATTTTCACATTTCTAAACTGCAATCACTTACATGTAGGGGAAAGATTTTCCCTTTTCTTCTTCATCTCCTGTAATCTCTTCGCCATTACACTATGATGATTGCTATTAGCTTTTGTAGGGCTATACATCAATGAAGCATTTGATCCAAATAAAAGAGCACGTACTTCATTATCTGCAAGCACACAAAAATTCATTTTTAAGTGAAACAAATGCCTAAATACTACAAAATATGCCATTCAAGGATATATTTTTTAGAAATCTAAAGTTCTTCACTCCTAATCCCCAATTAGTTTTACCTTTCAACACCAGTATCTACTACTACCTACTACTACTACTAGTCTACTACCACCACCAATCAATAATAATCAATAACAATAACACAGCTACTACAAATGGTAGTAACCTTTACTGAGCAATTTACCATGTGTCCAGGGTTGTGCTTAGCACAAGAAATGCATTATCTCATGTAACCCTCTCCCAAAGCAATGCACTGGGCAAGCGTATCCCCACGTAAAGATGAAAACTTGAGAAGCAGTATAGTTAATGATGAAAGAAGGATCAACGATTAAAGTAAAGCAAGAATGCAACACAGTGCCTAAGTAAGATTCCTCAACATTCAGAAGCCACTGTCACCAACAGGACCCTGCTCCACCCCCACCCCCTCCCCACACCAACAGCACGATACGAGGGCGATACTGCATGAAGGAAGGTTAGAGTGACCCTGGAATCATGAAAGCACTGGGTTTGGGCGTGGAGAGTGCAGATCGTGCGCTTCTGAGAAATCCATACTTGACATATGCTCAGAGGATTTTGACACCCCAAAACAATTAAAAAACTAAAAATTAATATACTCTTTTTCAGTTCTTAAAACCAAACCAGTTGTTATCAAGTTGATTCTGATTCATGGTGACTTAGGCGTGTTGGAGTGGAGTTGTGCTTCATAGGGTTTTCAATGGCTACTTTTCAAAGGTAGATTGCCTCGTCCATTCTTTGAGGCATATCTGGGTGGCCTCAAACCTCCAACTTTTAGGTTTGCAGCTGAGAGCATGAGCCATTTGCATCACCCAAGGATACCTTACAACACTCAGGCTTGAAAATCACTACTGTATTTCTGACAATACATTCGAATCCTTAATACCTTATATTTGTTATAAATGCTGACTCATAGTGGCCCTGCTGTGGCTTTCTGAGACTGTAACTGTTTACGGAGTAGAAAGCCCAGTCTTTCTCCTGCGGAGATGCTGGTGGTTTTAAACTGCCAACCATGAGGTCTGCAGCCCAATGCGTGACTACTACAGCGCCTGGGCTACTTATACTTACTACAGCACATGTTAAACCTGGGATTTATCCTAAATATTTTGTCCTTAGCATGGCAAAAAAGAATTTAAAACTAGAGACAGGGAGTATCCATTTGACTGGAGATTTACTTCATTCTGAGTAAAACATGGAACATGGATTATAAAGACATGACACTGGATCTGTAGGGGCTGCTGCATTGGTACAGGAAAGGGAATATGTAGGTATGAATTAAAAGGGAATAGGACAAAAAATGGCAGAACTCAAGCAATTATTTTAGCATCAGGTGTAAGAGTCCTGATGGATAGCTACTGAAAGAGATGTCCAGGATGATGGCATGATTCTGGCTTGAGTTGGTAGAATCTTTCTGTTAGGAAAGGACTAGAATCGAGTGGACATTCAATTCATTAGACAATGGGATGACCGAGCATGAAAATTCATAGTAAAAGTAATGCCTTCCAAAAAATCATCTGGCTATACCATACAGGCTCAACATTCCACTCAATTCGGTTACACGTGTGTAAGATTTAAAATAAAATTCAATGACTGTATTTCAATAATTTCAAAATATGAAGAATTTTTTAAAAGAAAGGGAAACTAGAAGAATCAATGTTTTTCTCTTAATATACTGTGACGTATGCTTTCAAAAAACTGGTTGTTTCTATCAACGCCACATTAGCATACTAACTAATACAGAACACAGAGATAAGGTAAAACAGAGTGGATCACAAGCATAAGATTGTATGCCCTCCAAAATTAGTTTTTAAATCATTAAAGAAATAGCATCCAATGTTTGCCTATTCTATCTAACAAAAGTGTAAGACCAAAACCTAAAAAACCAAACTCCCCGTCAGAGTCAATGTCAAGTCAGAGCAACACTATAGGGCAGAGTAGAACTGCCCCGTTAAGTTTCTGAGACTGTAACTCCACATGAGAGTAGAAAATCCCCATCCATCTCCCCAGAGGACCAAGTGTCAGACAGCTCCATAAATTTGATGATATTAATATTTTTTGGTCAATTAGTTCAACTCTGGCCATATCACAGTTACACCTATTCTATGCCAGGAATATCTGATTTTTTTCTTTCTAGTCCAAAACGACTGGAGTTTCAATTAACTAATGGGCTTCAGGCAACTAAACTGAACAAGAACATAAAGGTCAGCATATGTCGTGACTTACCCAGAGTTGTCTTTTGCCTTTGTAATTCTTCACTCATTTTCTCAAATTTCCTTTGAAGTCTTTTATCATTTTCTGGTGTTCTGGCAATAAAATCTTTGGGCTGCATACACCTACGCTGTGTAAAAAAAAAAACAACACCCCAAAACCATATAAATTTAATAATTGTATACTGAACAAGGAAGAAAATTTTCACAAACGTCTGATAAATTTTGTATTAACAACAAAAACCTTTAAAAGAAGTCTTTCTTGCACTATGTGAATTGGCAATTTGTACAATCGGAAAAAGGGGAAAATATCTTAAAAGACCATAAAGAAGGCTGTACATTAAGAATTTTCTTCTGGGCATTTTCAAATCACAATATTCTGATAACCAACGAAAGTCTCCATCCCCAAACAAAGTGAAAAGTAATTTTTAAAAAGTAATTAAAACTTTTTTTAAATAAAGAAATCACTTACTTATCCTTACTATATCTATTTCACTTAATTGGGCCAGTAGAAACTAGAAAGCAAAGTCCTAGTGGCATAATGGGTTGGGCTGCTAAGCTCAAGGTCAATAGCTTGAATCTAACAATGGCCCTACAGGAGAAAGATGAGGCAGTCATCTTCCATAATGACTGATTAATTCAGAAACCCTAGGGAGCAGTTCTTGTCTTCCTTATAGTGTCATCATGAGTCGGAATGAACTTCAATGGCAGTGAGTTTGCTGTGGTCTTTTTGTCTGTGTTTTGAGGGGTTTGCTGTTGCTGGTTTTTAGTGCACTGTTTATATACAAAGTGTGAAAAATAAGGACACTTCAAACACATGAACCCACAGGCTAAATTCAGAAGGCAGTCTATTATTTCTGATCTTACCATCTTCTGATTAAAAAGGGGAAAGTCTCCTTCAAAACAGTATCATACAATCACAACCTGCACACATTCTTGTCTTCAGAATATTATTTCCCACCTTTAACCCAGTCATCACCATTAGAACCCAAACTGAACCAGGCATCAGATTTCCCTACCACTATTTCTATGTTGACCTCTCTCTTAAAGGCAAAATAAATGTTCTAATATTGGTGTCTCTTCGTGTTAAGTTTAAGCAACAAGACCAAATTTATGTGTTAGTACTTAGTCTCACCACCTTTTAACAGCCTTAGAGAAAGAACTTCTTTTAGTCATTTAGAATTCTAATTGTGCCCTTGATTCAGGATCTTGCTTTATAAGTTAGTTTATGAGTTTTAAGTTGTTTACTCATTCATTTAACAAAAATGTTATTAATGTGTCAGGCACTGGTCTTAATATACGTAAGTGAACAAAAATCAAATAAAACCCCCTGCCATCATGGATCTTATACCCTAAAATAGAATTACAGAAAATAAGTATACTTACTAGGTTTACTTCTTTAACTTACTAATTAATAGTGTGTATGCTGGGTGAGTTAATTCCAACGGACCTCGAATGGACCCCAACTGTTTTGCTGAAGCATCTACACCGCACTGATTCTTAATCAAGGTACACATAAACAATCATGGATCCAAGTCATTTAAAGGGCCATTTGAATCTATTTGTCAACATTGTTTATTAACATTATTTCTTCACAACTTGCCTGGAAAGCTATAACGCTGGACGCAATGTATACAGTAGAGTGTATACAAGTAGCTCCAACAGGGAATGTTATGCTCCCTAGGAAAGTGCACCTGAACAGCCCCATCTGAAAGGAGGACAAGTGGAAGTCCCACACGGCCTACCAAGATCTTCTACTGGCAGCCTTTGACATGATGTATATCTTTACTTTACTACTAATGCTATACTGCATTCTCATCCAGGAGTAAACTTTAGAATTATATAAGCCCTAATTGTTATTTTGAAATCCTATGAATTTTTTTCAGGAGCCAAGCCCCACCTAATTGCCTAGGAATGCGATACGTTACAGAACAAACCCACTGGGTCTTAATTGACTCCAACTCAGAGACCTTAAAGAAGTGAATAAAACTGCTCCACAGGGTTTCAAAAGCTATAAATCCGTACAGAACCAGACTGCCTCATCTTTCCCCTTTGGATCAGTTGGTTGTTTCAAGCCACCTATGCCTGGAGAAGCTAAATGCTTTCACCACTGTGCCACCAAGCCCCCACTCAATGTAGTACATGAGACAGGCATAAATAGTACATATTAAGAAGAAAAAAGGCAGTTAAGGGAGATTGGCATAAATGGTAAGGTCTTCTATTTTAAATTAGTCAGGGTAGAAGGAGCCCTGATGGCATAGTGGGTGTGTGTTGGGCTATTAACTGCAAGGTCAGTGGTTTGAATCTACCACCTTCTCCAAGGAAGAAAGATGAGGCAAAAACCCAAAGGCAAATTCTTCTCTGTCCTATAGGATTACTGAGTTGGAATTCACCTGATGTCAAGGGTTTGGGTCTGGTCTAGTCATAGTAGGTCTTATTGAGAAATATAATTTAAACAACGCAGTACTGAGAAAATTAGTCATAAATAAATTTTTTTTGGGGGGGGGAATGTTCTAGACATAGGGAACAAATAATGTAATGGATTTTAGAAAGAAGCAAACCATAAGACTTAATAAAACATTTCGTTTCTTCTACATGAAAAAATAAGTAAATAAATAAGCAAGCCAGTGTGGCTGGCAACTGAATTAACTCAAGGGGGAATGAAGAAGAGAAACTCTTTACAGATCCCAGAACAACAGGGTCTAGAGTAAGGCGTCCTGGTGGCAAGGCCAAGTAAGATTTGGATAGCTAACAGCACGCACTATGAGAATCCCCTCCATGGCAGTGGGTGGGCAAGAGGTGTGCATATAATTTGCAGTTGCATTTGGAACAAAAGGGAAAGATAATGTTTCTAGACATAGGTCAAAATTTAAGTGCTAAGTGTTTGAAAAGTTATTAGTACTTCTGACTAGAAAATATTTAGAAGGCTAATAATATTCAGCATTAGTGAGGGTGCTAGGAAACAAGTAACTCATGTACACCATTGATGGAATTGTTAAAATATTTTTACCTACTAATTTCACTTCTTGATATCTAATAAGCTTATGTATGTTGTATCAATACGGCATAACAGAAACAGGCAATGATTTACTGATGTGTTAATAAGAGAAAGGCATGTTCATGTGATATAACGTAATACAGAAAAAGGAAGTATTATATGAGGGGACATAAGCAAATGTGGTGAAGAAAGCTGATGGTGCCCGGCTATCAAAAGATATAGCGCCTGGGGTCTTAAAAGCTTGAAGGTAAACAAGCGGCCATCTAGCTCAGAAGCAACAAAGCCCACATGGAACAACATATATCAACCTGTGTGACCACGGGGTGTCGAACGGATCACTGAAGACAAATGGGTGCATAAGCAAATGTGGCGAACAAAGCTGATGGTGCCCGGCTATCAAAAAGTATAGCGTCCGGGGTCTTAAAGGCTTGAAGGTAATGAAGCGGCCATCAAGCTCAGAAGCAACAAAGCCCACATGGAAGAAGCACACCAGCCTATGCAACCACGAGGTGTCGAAGGGATCAGGTGTAAGGCATCATCAGAACAAAAAATCTTACCATAGTAAATGATGGGGGGAGTGCGGAGTGGAGATCCAAAGCCCATTAGTAGGCCACTGGAGATCCCCTTGCAGAGGGGTCTCGGGGAGGAGATGAGCCAGCCAGGGTGCGATGTAACAATGATGAGAAATACAATCTTCCTCTAGTTCCTAAAGGTTTCCTCCCCGCTCCCACTACCATGACTCGAATTCTATCTTGCAAGACTGGCTAGACCAGAGGAGGTACACTGGTACAGATAGGAACTGAAAATACAGGGAATCCAGGACGGATGAGCCCTATAGGACCAGTGGTGTGAGTGGCAAAACAGGGAGGGTAAAGGGAGAATGGGTAGGAAAGAGGGAACCGATTACATGGAACTGTATGTGACCTCCTCCCTGGGAGACAGACAACCGAAAAGTGGGTGAAGGGAGACGTCGGACAGGGCAAGATATGACAAAATACCCATTTATAAACTATCAAGGGCTCATGCGGGAAGGGGGAGCGGGGAGGGAGGGGAAAAATGAGGACCTAATGTCGGGGGTTTAGGTGGAGAGAAAATGTTTTGAGAAACGATGTACAAATGTGCTTTACACAATTGATGTGTGTATGGATTGGGATAACAGTTGTATGAGCCCCTAATAAAATGTTAAAAAAAAAAAAAAGAAATTCAGGAGAAAATTCCATTATCTTTTCATTCCATTCTTTCACAAACCTTTTGAAGCCCCCTTGTATTTATACATATTCACAGATAGATATTGAGATAAAATGATCAAAAGCATACTATCCAGTTGGGGAAGTAGAGGGGGAAGACCTCAAAAAATGCATGCAATAGGATATTATTCAAGTAAAATGTATGTGCCTGTATGTGAAAATATAATGTAAATGTATTAAAGCCAATAAAATCCAGACAATATATGTCAAATTGAACAGATTAATTTCAGAGACGAAAATAATACTAAGGCACTCAACAAAGATTGTTACATTACAAATGTAATGTAACTATAGTATATCAACTATCTTACAATGAAAATACCCAGACAGTATTGCTACCTTTTAAAAATACTGTTTTCTTAAAATGCTATGTGTACCCACACCCATTAGTTAGAGAATCGAAGAGTGTCAAGACATTCTCTTGAATCTTCTTTTTTTCACCTCCAATCAGCTGAGGTGTGGAAGGAGATTAAAAGAACTGTTCCATTGCTGCACTAGCAAATTCAGCTTATCTGAATGAAACGTGGATATATATGATTTAATGCTTTCGGAGAATATGGAAAAGTCCACAACTATTTTTCTCTTAATCTTAGGAATTCGATTTGGAGAAAGTTCTAAATCTTCTCTCTAATACAGATTCTTATTTGAAAACAAAGTGACTTAGGGATGGTAAAAATCTTACTTTCAAAGAAAGAAATCACAATGAGAAAATTTTAAATAAGAAACAGAGAAATGTTCACTGTCTAGTTCAAATGTGAAATCAACCTCAAATGAAAGATGTATGTTTTCTGTAGTGAGTATTTTAGAGAGCCACACTTGAATATATCTGCTTTAGACTTAAGTTACTCAGGTTAAATAAAAGAAACCCATTTTACTACTGCTGTAATAAACTACATCCTGAAATAATTACTAGAGCAAATAAGTGTTTGCTCAGCTATTGTCAATTTTTAGTTTTCCCCTAGTGTGTAAGAAAAAGTCTGACCAGTCTTGGTCTCGGGTTGCCAGGAGGTATAACCTCTACACTTGTATAATTAAAGATGGGTTAGGTTTTTCTTTAGAATTGGGCTAACTTAGGTACTCTCTAAACCATTAGAATTTCCTACCACTGGAGCTCCTTTGCTATTCTTGGTGAGCCCTTCAGACTACAGCTGACAGTTTACGAGTAATCACAAAAACAGACCATAACACATGGTGGGCCTGCTAAAGAGACGACTCAGGTTGGGTGAGGCCAGGCCAGACAAACCATCACTACAGATTGGGGTTTTAAGCCACATCATATCAGCCAAATCTCTAGAGAAGAAGGGGAAAGACACTGATTTCAGTCAGACAAACAATAATTCCACCGAGCATACCTATATAATAAAGTCTCAATGAAAACTCTGAACACCAAGGCTTAGAGAAATTTCCCTGTTGACAATATCTATATGTCAACACATGGATGTGCTGAGAGGGTGACTCATACCTGAGGTCAATATAAGCTTTGTATCTGGGACTCCCTGACCTTGCCCTACGTGACTGTCCCATTGGCTGGTTCTGATTTAAACCTTTCTGCTACAACAAAACTGTAATCGCAAGTATAGCATTTTTCTGAGCCCTGGTGTCATAGTGGTTTACACAATGGGCTGCTAACACACAATCAGCAGTTTGAAACATCAGCCACTTCATGGGCAAGAGTGAGGCCTCTGTTCCTGGAAAGATTCACAGTCTCGGAAACCCACAGGGGCACTCATCCCAATCCTAGAGGGCTACTAGGAGGAGAAATATACGCGAAGGCGGTGGGTTTTGTTATAATAAAACTGTAATTTTAACTATAGCCTTTTCTTGAGTTCTGTGAGTTGTTCTAGGAAATGATAAAATCTGAAGGGGTACTGGGAACCTCCATCCAGTCAGAGTGAAGGTGGCCTGGGCACTCCTGAGCTCATGCTAGTGTTTGAACTGAGGGCAATGAATTAAAAGACTATGCCCTGCATTCTATGATGCTCACCTTCCCGACACAACCGCTGAAGAAAAAGAGAGTGAATAAGCAAATGTGGTGAAGAAAGCTGATGGTGCCCGGCTATCAAAAGATATAGCGTCTGGGGTCTTAAAAACTTGAAAGTAAACAAGCGGCCATCTAGCTCAGAAGCAACAAAGCCCACATGGAACAACATATCAGTCTGTGTGATCACGAGGTGTCGAACGGATCACTGAATACAAATGGGCACATAAGCAAATGTGGCGAAGAAAGCTGATGGTGGCCAGCTATGAAAAAGTATAGAGTCTGGGGTCTTAAAGGCTTGAAGGTAATCAAGCGGCCATCAAGCTCAGAAGCAACAAAGCCCACACGGAAGAAGCACACCAGCCTATGCAACCACGAGGTGTCAAAGGGATCAGGTATAAGGCATCATCAGAACAAAAAATCTTACCATAGTGAATGATGGGGGTAGTGCGGAGTGGAGACCCAAAGCCCATTAGTAGGCCACTGGAGATCCCTTTGCAGAGGGGTCTCAGGGAGGAGATGAGTCAGTCAGGGTGCGATGTAACAATGATGAAAAATACAACTTTCCTCTGGTTCCTAAATGTTTCCTCCCCACTCCCACTACCATGACTCCAATTCAACCTTGCAAGTCTGGCTAGACCAGAGGATGTACACTGGTACAGATAGAACTAAAAATACAGGGAATCCAGGGCGGATGAGCCCTACAGGACCAGTGGTGTGAGTGGCGAAACAGGGAGGGTAGAGGGAGAGTGGGTAGGAAAGAGGGAACCGATTACAAGGGACTATATGTGACCTCCTCCCTGGCGGACGGATAACAGAAAAGTGGGTGAAGGGAGACGTCGGACAGGGCAAGATATGACAAAATAACAATTTATAAACTATCAAGGGCTCATGAGGGATGGGGGAGCGGGGGAGGGAGGGGGAAAATGAGGACCTAATGCCGGGGGTTTAAGTGGAGAGAAAATGTTTTGAGAATGATGTACAAATGCACTTTACACAACTGATGTGTGTATGGATTGTGATAAGAGTTCTATGAACCCCTAATAAAATGATTTAAAAAAAAAAGAGTGTAGAGGTGGAGTCTAGCCTGTCAATCAAGATATCGCCAATGAAGCCTCTGTGTGGGCCTGGCCTTCTCCTGAGGATTCTGGGAACTCCTAGATTTCCTCCTTGGAGGTGGGAGATACTCTCTCTCTCTGCTCACTCCCTGTGATACATCCCTGTGAAAAAGACCCATGGAGAGAGGCTGATGAAACCAGACCTCTGGAGCTGGAGCAGCCACGTGGAGACTCCTGCCAGCGCTGAGATGCTTACAGCACCACTAGATCCACAAGACTTTCCATCCACTGCCCTGTGATTGTCCTGCATTTGGCGTGATTGCATGTGTTTGTGAGTCTGAAGAGCATTTTAGATTGGTATCGGGCATATGGGATAATATCAGACTTATGGACTTGATCTGGACTGGTCTGGGATGTTTTCTCAATAATCAACTGTTCTTGGATATAAAAGCTCTTTCTTATACAAAAAAAAACAACAATATGCCCTGACATAGGAGTTTGGTCTAACTCTGGGTGACTGCTTCCAAAGTCATTGTACCATGGTCAACCATACTTTCTTTCATTTCTCTATAAATATATCAAAGCATTTATATGACACAATAATCTCTCTAATTTACCTTTTAAAAAATGCTGTGTAAAGCTACCAAATTTCTTAAAACCAAAAAAGCACATGTAAAACAGCTCTTGAACCTTTGTGTTTTAAGTTTTATTTTCTAGCATTAAGAAACAATAAGAATAAATGCATAATTGCCACAGTCTATAGTGAAATCATATACTTACTTTTCTTTTAAGTAGGTTTGGTAACTGTTCATTAGTATTAGCTGCAGGGAATAATGATTCATCAATGTGTACTCCAGCTGTCCTGCATCTGTGTAATTAAAGTAGTTTAATGAATATTTGTTTCTGTTATATCCAAGTCATAAATCTTTAGATGTAACATCACTTAAGACATATGAGTAAATAGGCCAACTTAACAGGCATTGCTATTAAAATAAGTACATGTTTTACCAAATACAAAATTTCCAGAAATGAAAGGCAGCACAATTCTTTTGCAACATTTTTACCTCAAGAAACAGTCCTACATGTGTAAGTCAAATTTTTAAATCAATTAGAACAAGTGCATATGGTTTTCACTGAGCTGCTAGAACAGAGCCCTGGTGACACTGCCAAGTTACTGCCAAGTAACTGTTAGACTGCTAAGTGCAAAGTCACTTAGTTCAAACCTATCAGCCCCTCCCCACAGAGAACCATGAGGCTGTATGCTACAGTAAAGATTTACAGTTTTGGAAACCCTATAAGGGGTGGCTATTAGTTGGAATCAACTCAATGGCAGTGAGGTTAGGGTTCGGGACTGCTTCAAACATTTCAATGTGAGAGTCCATTTACACAACATTATGAGGCAAGTAATGGTTGTCTCATAGCCCAGCATTCGTTACCCAAAGACTTATTATTTATCTTTCTTCCAAAATTGTGTTCTCCTTTTTGTCTACTTCTGTCAGTGCACCACCGCCATCCCATAGAACTAGGTATGAAATCTCAGCTACCAATAGCTATGTTTCTCCCTTTCATAACCAGTCTATCATCATATCTAGTCATTTCTCCTTTCATAATACTATTACATCCTTCCTTTGGGATTCCCCCACCATTCTCTTGTCCCAAGCATCCATCAACTCAATCTAAATAGTTATGATTTTTAAATTTCCTTTCTTATGATTTCTCCTGTTCTAATTCACCATATGTTATGGAAATACTCATCTTAATACATTTTACTCATATCTCCCCAGTGTAGTTCAAAAATCTTTAATAACTCTTCTATTTACAGTATAATCTCATCCAACTGTTAGTTAAGTCTTTCTGTACTACAGCCTCTACCTCTCCAATTATAAGATGATCACTGTTCAATATCTAAGAATCAAAATAGATATTTGAAGAAATAATTAAAATACAGTACAATTAAAAGATGGGGCACACATCCATTCAATGCAGAATTTTCTCTATGAAAAATCATATATGACTGAAGTGAATAAATAGGAGTTAAGACATCATGATAGAAAATGACTTACGGTAATAAAGATGAGACCTATGTCCAGGGGGGCTTTATTCACTAAGCTAATGAGCATAGCCCTTATCCTATAAAGACCAGGAAGTTAGGAAATGTTTGATGGAGTAGAACATTATCGAAAGTCACCTAAAGCGCTGATTCAAGAAAGTTGGCACTGAAGGCAAGAGACTAACCCTAGCATTAATGCCATAATTAAAACAGGAGATTTTGAAGATTTAAACTAACTCAATTAAGAACTGGTGAAAACAGTGTGAAACACAAGCAGTCACCTAAGTGAGGCATTAACGAAGTCCACACAGAAGAAGCACACCAGCCTGCGTGATTCAAGGACTGTCAGTAATAAAATTTAAGATCAGAGGAGGGAATTATATTAAAGGTTGACTTCTGAGCATTCGGTTTGCAAAAGGTCACGGGTGACAGTAAAGCCCAAAATCCATTTGCAGAGCCCGCATGGATTAAGCTTTCCAGAGAAGCCCTCTGACCACTGAGGAGGGATGTGAGTAGCCTTGTTAACAGAGTGCTTTGGAAAGTGAACTAATGCAGACACCATTAGGTTAAAATGTAATATTGTATTTGTCCTTCCTTTTTCAACCCTCAAAAAATTAAGTAAGCAAGTAATTACACTACTAGTTATATACCCAAGAGAAATAAAAATATATGTCCATGAAAAAACTTATACACAAAAGCTTATAGCAGTATAATTCATAAAAATTCAAAGTGAGACCAAACTAAATATTCTATTGTATGAATATACCCCATTTCCATACAATGGAATGTTATCCAGGCAAAAAAAGCAATTAAGTATTGATACGCTGTACATTCAACTCATAGAGAACCTAGAGGACTAGCAGAACTCACCCCACCCCCGTAGGTTTCTGAGAGTGTAACTCTTTATGAGGCTAGAAAACCTCTTCTTTCTTCCTTGGAGCAGCTGGTTGTTTCAAAAGGCTGGCCTTGGGATTAGCAGCCAACACACAACCACTATGTCAATCTGAACTGACTTGATGGAGTTGAGTTTGGTTTTTGGACATCATTCAAAATGAATAAATGAATAAACACATCATGCTATCTGAAAGAAGCCAGTAAGTCACAAAATAACCATTATAACCATAATAATAATAATAATAATTCACTGTCATTGTGTCAATAACTCATAGCTATGTTATAGGACAGAGTAGAGTTGTCCCTCTGAGTTTCAGAGACTATTACTGTTCACAGAATAGAAATACTATCTCTTTTTTTAAAATTGTTTTATTAGGGGCTCATA